TTTTCTTCATTCATATGTGTAGCTAATGTTATATTATTATTATTTTTGTTTACTTTACAAGGAAGTTGCTATGAATTAGTTTTCATTTTTTGTATACTAATTCTCTTTTTTCGTTTTCCAGGGCTGAAGGTTTCATACTACTGTGATTAGTTATTTACGTAGTAAAAGCCCTGAATGTTGCGTAGTGCTTTCCTACAATTTTTTTTTTGCTACCCGATACAAAAATTGAATGGTAATCAATGGAATAAATGTCAACGGGTGAATAGTTTAAAATTTATCTGCATCGAGGGTCTTTCTTCCGCAAACGTGCCACGATGGAAGAAAGAGTTTGTCGATCTTTGCAATACTACTGCAAAAGTTGCAAGGATTTTTTAAGACTTGCTGGGGATATTTTTTTGTATTCTGCGAGTTGTGGATATATTTTCTTCGTGCTGGATAATTTAAGAACGTCTGTGATGACGATTTCGGATTATTATTTTTGCTGTTGTTGAACTATATTTAGAAATTAATTGTTGAAGCTGTTCTTGAATATTTTTAATTTGTGTGATGTTATGTTGCATCTGTGTGGTGTTCAGTTATGGTGCATGATGTTTGAATTTGTTATAATCTAAATATTGGAATTTGTTGATGTTGTTGTAAAGCCATTTGATGCTTAACAATCATGTATTAGGCATTTTCGTTGAGGTTTAATTAATATAAATATAAAGGCTGCACTTAAACGATGTAAGATAAGATAAAATTTCAATCGTTGTCCAGTATTTAACGCTCCGCGTTTCAGTTCATTCGTGATTTCAATATCAGAAGAAGTTAAAAGTTTTCAAGCTTTTTCGATTTTTGTTGAAACTGAAAACAGAAATGATTTTTATTAAAATACAATTATTATGAACTTGGGATTTTGTTGCATGGGAAAGGATTTGGAAACAAAAAATTAAATAAATAATAATTTCTTTTAAAAATCGAAATAAAAAATCAATGAAAAATTAAGTTAATCATTTATGGTGGTAGACAACTCATTTAATGTCCCACTGATTTGTATATTGGATTTACTCAGCTCTTTTAAATGCTTTCTACATTGGAATTGTTCACTCTTTTGAAATTTGAATTCTGAATTGATTTCAAATTATGGATTTCAATTTTATATTTCAAATTGTAATGGTGGGAAAGGGTTTGGAAACAAAAAATTAAATAATAATTTCTTTTAAAAATCGAAATAAAAAATCAATGGAAAATTAAGTTAATCATTTATGGTGGCAGACAACTCATTCAATGTCCCACTGATTTGTACATTAGAATTACTCAGCTCTTTTAAATGCTTTCTACATTGAATTGTTCACTATTTTGAAATTCGAATTCTGAATTGATTTCACATTATGGATTTCAATTTTATATTTCAAATTGTAATGGTGGGAAATGATTTAGAAATAAAAAATTAAATAAATAATAATTTCTTTTAAAAATCGAAATAAAAAATCAATGGAAAATTAAGTTAATCATTTATGATGGTAGACAACTCATTCAATGTCCCACTGATTTGTATAATATAATTACTCAGCTCTTTTAAATGCTTTCTACATTGGAATTGTTCCCTTTTTTAAAAGTCGAATTCTGAATTGATTTCAAATTTTGGATTTCAATTTTAAATTTCAAATTGTAATTGTGGGAAAGGATTTGGAAATAAAAAATTAATTATATAATAATTTCTTTTAAAAATCGAAATAAAAAATCAATGGAAAATTAAGTTAATCATTTATGATGGTAGACAACTCATTCAATGTCCCACTGATTTGTACATTGGAATTACTCAGCTCTTTTAAATGCTTTCTACATTGAAATTGTTCACTCTTTTGAAATTTGAATTCTGAATTGATTTCAAATTATGGATTTCAATTTTATATTTCAAACTAGTGAATTACCCGTGCCGATGCACGGGAAAAAAAATTGGTTTGTTTGGCATGGTGGGTCCGCCCTCCGGGCCGAACTCATTTTGTCAGTATTTCAAAGGTCCCAAACAGTCATTTTTTTTAAATAACAAAACAGTCATTCATTGTTACATTAAAAATAGGAAAGAAAATAGGATAATAAAGGTCATATCTTTGAAGATAGATAAGGAAAAGAGACGCGAATAAACAGTCATTTTTTTTGTCTTTACCTGTACCATACAACGAAGTTATATCTTTGAAGAAAGAACCCAATATACTATAGCAGTCTTTGAAATACTTCCTTGTAAACTATATTAAGGGTACTATTCGTAACGCAGTCATTTTCATCAAGTATCAATATCTTCAATCCATGCTTACTCTTTACTCTAGACAGTGCCACATATAATTGTCCATGAGTGAAGACAGACTTAGGGAGATAAATTGCAACATGTGAAAGTGATTGTCCTTGACTCTTGTTGATAGCCATGGCAAACGATACAATCAGGGGGAATTGTCTTCTTTGGAAATTTACAGGAAATGTATGACTCGATGGGCTCATCGTCATTCTAGGGATTAACACAGTTTCCCCTATATTGCTTCCTGTAAGTACAATTGCCTCAACAACATGATTCCCTAATTTTGTAATAAGCAATCTCGTGCCATTGCATAAACCTCTCGACTGATCAATATTTCTTAATGGCATTACTGAAACTTTAACTTTCAAGATTAATTTATTATCAGGAATCCCTGAGCATGATAATGTATTTAAGATCTCAGGGGTGATTTCATCATCCTCAACAGAGGAAGTCCCACCTTGCTTAAGAATTTTTTCCGAACTCAAAAAAGTCCTTTCTTCACCAGGAATCATAGACATTAGGTGCTCGTTTAGCATAACAACATCGGACAATTTAGGAGTTAGAATAACACGTTCTTTAAAGAAGGTCTGATCCAAAATATTATCCAAGAGATTCGGATAAACAAAATTAACCATATCCGACAGCGGATCTTCCGATTCTCTAATCAACAATACATCTGGAATTGTTATAATAGATTCTCCATCAACATCATCTCCAAGATTACCATCCCCAACTTTAAGTAGCCACTCAGAAAATTCTTTTATTTCCTCTAAATTGTGAGCGCTACTTCCAGAATTAAGACGCATGTTCTTGGTCAAAGTTAATAAATGACAATGGGACCATAGATGAGTGTTGGACGTTTAGCAAGTGCACTAGTCGTGCAAGTAATAAAATGATGAGTAAAGATCGTTCCCACGAGGAACTGTGTTCAAACACCAATATACCATAGAAAACTAATTTGAATCAAATAAGAGTTTGTAAAAATCATGAATAATTTGTCACCAGAAAGTTGATTTTGAGTAAATTGACACAAAGTAAATATGGATTAGGAATTAATAAAAACAACAAGTAGTCAGAAAACAACTTTCCTCCATGATAACCCATATAAAAATTGATCATATGATGAATTCCTTTCCATGTGATGTTAATCAACCTTTTACTTATCATCAAGATGTAATCCCTTACTACCCTGATAGAAACATTAATCAGAAACCCCAATCCCTTGGTGATTTCTTTCTTAATACATGCATGAAATACTAAGGTTTTAAGATTACATCAGAACTCTAGCATCAATCCCTTGAGTACTAGAATTCTGATGTTGAGATTATCAAATACAGAAGTCATATAAACATCCCTGTTCTATACTACTTCTTTGATAGAAATAATTAACTCAGAAAATCTCAAATCAGCACATGAAAAATACTTCATCATATTAATCAAATCAACATAATATTATCATGGAGTTCCATTGCATTCAGACTACAAAGACTCTACTCAGACATGACTAAGGAATAAATAAGAGAAGAAGAAACAAACTTCATTTCCATGTTGAAAGTCTTCAATCTCCAAACTATTACAGAAATCCTAATACAAAAACTAAAAGAATTTAGAGAGAAGTCAGACTAAGTTTAAGAGAGAGAGAGAGTTCAGATCCCCCAAGATTCTCATCTAAGTGTCAAGGCTTTGCCTTATATAGTGTTACAATTAAAAACAGAAAACTGATGTGGGCGCTAAAACGTCCATAAGTGGCCGTTTTAGCGTCCATGCTTTACGTATGCTCAACTGCTTTTAACTGATTTCAACGCTAAAACGTTAAGGAATGACCGTTTTAGCGTCCAAACTTGGTGAATGCTCAACTAACTTTAACTGACTCCAACGCTAAAACGTTTGATTTGGACGTTTTAGCGGTGAAGACCAGAATCTTTTTCCACTTTAGGGCGCTAAAACGCATATTGCAGGCCGTTTTAGCGCCCAAGACCAGCAATTTTCCATCTTCTTAGTGTAGCAGCGCGCTAAAACGCTCTGTGTGGATGTTTTAGCGCTCATCACCAGCAAGTTTTGGCCTCTTTCTGTAACAGGGCGCTAAAACGCTCAGTGTGGACGTTTTAGCGCTCAACACCAGCAAGTTTTGGCCTCTTCCTGTAACAGGGCGCTAAAACGCTCAGTGTGGACGTTTTAGCGCTCAACACTTTGGCAATTTTTCTCCTCTTGAGCTCCAGAATCTTCTTCCTTCTCCAGTTCTCTTTCAAGCTTGCTTTTCCTACAAGAATCATACAAATTTCCAATAAAGCTCTTGAACTTGTAATTGAGGACATCTTAGGACATTAACCTTGTTTTTCATCATTTAATCACACAATTTGATCCTAATTCCTGTTAAAAACCATGATGAACTAAGGGTTCATCAATGAGAAGAATTGATGGTTGCATGAACTATATCTTGTCTGCTGCCATGAGGAATGACAGGTAATATTTGCCGAAAGTCACCTCCTAGAACAACAACTTTTCCACCAAATGGCATATCAACACAGCTTGTATCAAAAATTCTAAGAACATCTCTCAGTGTCCTATCCAGAGCCTCAAAGCAAAATCTATGTACCATTGGAGCTTCATCCCAAATGATTAACTTTGTTTTTTACAGCAACTCAGCTATAGTAGATTTCGGCCTTATATTACACGTTGAATCTTCATTGATTTGAATAGGAATACGAAATCTAGAATGCGTTGTTCATCCTCCAGGAAGCAGAAGGGAAGCAATTCCGCTAGAAGCAACATTAAGTACGATTCCAGCTTTTGATCTAATAGATGCTGAAAGAGTATTCCAAATAAATGTTTTTCCTGTACCACCGAACCCGTATAGGAAAAATAACCCTCTATTACCTGCCGTAACTGCTGAAATAATTTTATCATAAACAGTTTTCTGCTCATCAGTGAGGGAATTAATTAGTCTTTTATGTTCCTCTTCCAAAGCAAATCTGTCATACATTAATTCATCCAACACTAATCGATTTTGCATATCAAGCAAAGTTTCACTATTGATGCGTGGCATTGACGGATAATCAGAGAGGCATTTCCCATTGCTCTGCAGTACCTTATCAATTTCTTCAAGAGTTATGTTTTTTATAGACTCTTCTGTAAGAATTGCATCTGACAAAGCATAAAATTCAAAGGAAAAAAATTAAAAAATTAACAAAGATAAAGTAATCAAAGAAAGAAAAGAGAGCGAAATAAGTACTAAAGCATCGTTTGCTGAATGCGGGCAAAAAAAACAAAATATTTGGGCACCACAGGTGATTGTACTAAAGCATCATTTGCTATTTGCATATCATTCAGAACATTTAACTCATTTGGAAATTGATCCAAATCGGCACCCTAAAAAAATGAAAAGGGAAAAAAAATTATTCTAAAAAAAAAAGAACAGAACATAGACAGCGCAAACAGAGAGCACAAAACGACAAAAAATACATTTTAACCATAACACAGCAATTAAAAAACAAACCCTCTTGAAATGCAGCTCGCGCAATTCAGCAGCACTCATTCCCAACAAAGACACACAGTCGCGATCAAACAGAATAAAGGATGCGGAATCTGTGTTATCCACAACTCTGACCTGAACACTAAATCTGGAGTTTTGCGAAATTGTATATCAGCAACGTACATGAATGATACGGATTAAAGACAGGTTATAAACTAAGAAGAATATTTTACCTCGGATAATAATCTTCCCAATGTTTTTGGCAGTTCTTACAATACCACTTCTCAAAATCCTCATAAACGGAAAATGGACACTTTTTGCATGACTTGTACCACCAATTGTATTTGCTCTCAATTGCCTTTATAGTCCCGTATGTGATGCAGGTAGTTACCTTAATTAAAGCAATCGCAGTTTAACATAAAATATCATCAATACAAAATTGACAGAATTAAAGAAAAGTAAAAATTAAAAAAAGTAAAAATAAAATTTGAGCATTTACCTCAATACAAAGTTTCACATCACTGATAGACTTTTTTCAATCTCCTTAAGAAAATCATTTTCGAAAGAATAGGATGACTGAGTAGACAATTGAGTCATCCTTGTACTACTTTCCACACCATCAATCGAGAGACTATAACGCAAAAATTAATAATCAAAAAATCAAAAAAATATGAAAATCCATTAATCAATAACCGAATAAATGAGCTGAAGAAAGAAGGTACACACCGTTTTTTGAACTCAACAATCTCATTCAGTTTTGAATCCATTACAATCCTTGTTGTATATTTTGTATTTGTTATCCCGACCTTACCTATTGAGTTAAAAGGTTCAGATAAACATTGAATACAGAAGCAAAATTAATTAAAATAACGTGCATAAAAACTGATTATAAAAGCAAAAATTAAAACAACGTTGTTTGGAAAAAACATACATCTAAAACACTTAATCCTTCCCAATTGGACTATTAGGACGTTATGAGGATCGTCGTTGTCTGCCAAAAAAGATTGGACCTCATCCACATAATGCTCCCACAAAGTGCACTCCAACTTATGACCCCTACACGTGAGTTGCAGCAAGCACAACGTTAATACGCGTAAAATATAAGCTAACAGAGCTGGACAAAAATAATTCATTTAACTAAACATTTGTAAGTACCTCAGGTCGTCAAGCTCCAACACCACCATTTTTGTCTTCCTACCAGAAATCACACGATCACAAACTTTCCCAATTCCTGAGATTAAAACAATGACGTCTACAAAAAAAAACGCAGCAAAGAGTTTGTCAAAAAAATTATGCAATAATAAAAAACGAATACAGAAACATAAAAAACACAGTTAATGAAAAAAATAATGATACAGAATAAGATTACTCGTGACAAAACATTAAAAACACAAAACTATAACCGCAAAGAGTTTAAAAATAAGGAAATAGTCATGATACAGAATAAACCAATGACGTTTAAAAATTAAAAAAAGGCAGCAAAGAGTATGGGAAAAAAATAAAACCCGCAATAATTAAAAAAAGGATAACAGTGAGGAAGAATCTATTACCGACTAAATAAGGGGAGTCAGACGTTTCTTTCTCAATGATATTATAATCAACAAAATCAAAATCACTCGCACAAATATCAGAAACAACAATCGATTTAACATCAGTCCTCAAGTTGAAAGACGAACGATAATGATGCTTGGTTGGCCTAAACACATCGCTATTGAATCCAACTCCAAATTTTTTTTATAAAATAGCACTCTACTTCGTTGATTTTATTCCGCACCTGCAAGGTACCTTTGACAGTGGCGTGGATCCTACCACCCTACAAAAGAATGGAGCCAACTTATGTCAACAACGTTAACTAAAATGATCAAAACAAAGATGGAAGATTTTTAAAACACATAACACAACCTGTTCATCCAATAAAACCATAAGTTAATCATTTATGATGGCAGACAACTCATTCAATGTCCCACTGATTTGTACAATGTAATTACTCAGCTCTTTTAAATGCTTTCTACATTGGAATTGTTCACTTTTTTAAAATTCGAATTCTGAATTGATTTCAAATTTTGGATTTCAATTTTAAATTTCAAATTGTAATTGTGGGAAAGGATTTGGAAATAAAAAATTAATTATATAATAATTTCATTTAAAAATAGAAATAAAAAATCAATGGAAAATTAAGTTAATCATTTATGATGGCAGACAACTCATTCAATGTCCCACTGATTTGTACATTGGAATTACTCAGCTTTTTTAAATGCTTTCTACATTGGAATTGTTCACTTTTTTTAAAATTCGAATTCTGAATTGATTTAAAATTTTGGATTTCAATTTTAAATTTCAAATTGTAATTGTGGGAAAGGATTTGGAAATAAAAAATTAAATATATAATAATTTCATTTAAAAATCGAAATAAAAAATCAATGGAAAATTAAGTTAATCATTTATGATGGCAGACAGCTCATTCAATGTCCCACTGATTTGTACATTGGAATTACTCAGCTCTTTTAAATGCTTTCTACATTGAAATTGTTCACTCTTTTGAAATTCGAATTCTGAATTGATTTCAAATTATGGATTTCAATTTTATATTTCAAATTGTAATTGTGGGAAAGGATTTGGAAATAAAAAATTAAATAAATAATAATTTCTTTTAAAAATTGAAATAAAAAATCAATGAAAAATTAAGTTAATCATTTATGGTGGTAGACAACTCATTCAATGTCACAATGATTTGTACATTGAAATTACTCAGCTCTTTTAAATGCTTTCTACATTGGAATTGCTCACTCTTTTGAAATTCGAATTCTGAATTGATTTCAAATTTTGGATTTCAATTTTAAATTTCAAATTGTAATTGTGGGAAAGGATTTGGAAATAAAAAATTAAATAAATAATAATTTCTTTTAAAAATTGAAATAAAAAATCAATGGAAAATTAAGTTAATCATTTATGGTGGCAGACAATTCATTCAATGTCCCACTGATTTGTATATAGGAATTACTCAGCTCTTTTAAATGCTTTCTACATTAGAATTGCTCATGTAATACCCCATATTTTTATTAACTTTAACCTTATGCCTTTTAGTTAATTTGAGGAGCTCAAACTTCTAAGTTTCGAGGACGAAACTTCTTTTAAGGAGGGTAGAATGTAATACCCCAATTTTCTTTTAATAAAATACTAATAATAATAATATAATAATATAAAAAATTTGGATAATAATGATATTTAGTATTTTTGTAATTAATAATATTGGTATTTAATATTTTTAATTAATGAGTTAATAATAGTTAAAATAGTAAGAGGTAAGATAATAATAGTAATATTATTTGATTTATGTCATAATATATATAATTATATATATATATATATATATATATTTATATATATATTAGATGATAAATTATGATTAATTGATTTATTAATTGATTGATTATTTATGTATTAATGTTTGATTAGTAATGTTTGATTGATAAATTGTTTAGATATGATGAATCAATCATGAGTCAGCCTTGAGTTAGCAAATAAGTTAGTTATATTCTAAGAAATTTATAATAAAAAGAAAATAATGTATAAAGCCAAAATTTGAGCCAGATACATCAATGAGGAATAAAGAAATAATTGCACGAAACCCATATCTAAGCCCAAAACTTCAACTATAAATAGAGGTCTAGCCTAACCAAACCAATTCACTCTTCAAATTTTCTCCTATACTATTCTCTCTTCTTAGATCAAAAACCTAATTTAATTTATTTTATATTCTTCTAGTTACCAACCGGTTCTCTGCCCCAAATTACTCTTTTCTTCTAGAAGTTAGCAAAAACGGAGACCAGGTAATCCTAATCTCTAGGTGGTTGTAGATTTGTTGTGTATGAAATTTTATTGGGTGTGTCCTAATCTTTAGGTAGTTATATGTTTGATATATGTAATCCTAATTCCTAGAGAGTCATAGGTTATATTGATACGAATTTTGATATATGTAATCATAATCTCTAGGTGGTTGTAGATTTGTTGGGTGTGTCCTAATCTTTAGGTAGTTATATGTTTGATATATGTAATCCTAATCCTTAGGTTATAATTTTGTTTGAAGTTTATTAATAGTAATCCTAATTCCTATGTTCTATTAGGATATTTAATATATATGAAATATATTGTATGTAATCCTAATCCTTAGAGAGTCATAGATTATATTGATATGAATTTTGGTATATGTAATCTTATTCGTAGGTTATTTCTTTTATATAAAACTTGGATGTAATCTTAATCCCTAGGTGTTTAGGTTATCTCTATTATATGAAATTTGGGCATAATCCTTATATGTAATCCGTAGATGTTCTTAATAGTTTGGTATGAACATTTCTATATATATAGGTATTTGTTTTATTTAAATTTAAATTACCACATATGATAATTAGAATATTTTTGGAAAATTTTTATTATTTCAGAAATTGTGATTATGTGCAATATATGATATAAAATGTTATTATTTTAGAAATTATAATTATGTGTAATGTATGGTATAAGATTTAATTCATGTGCAATATATGGATCTTATTGAATAATTATGAAAATTATGGAATTATACTACTCTTTAAGAAAAACTTTCCAAATATGTGTTTTAATGATTGAATTTGAATATTTATATTATTAATAACTATGATAATTGATGTGATGGGATTATTTGAATGACGATGATTGGATTTGGATTTTTCTATGATGAATGTTGAAGATTTGAATTATTATATCCTTGAATAAATTGGAAAGTTATGATGAGGATCGGATTTGGATTTTACTGTGATGAATGTTGAAGATTTGAATTATCATATCCTTGAATAAATTGGAAAGTTATGATGATGATCGGATTTGGATTTTACTATGATGAATGTTGAAGATTTGAATTGTTATATAAATTCAAAATTTTATGATAATAGTTGTTTGAATTATGATACTTTGGAAAATTATAATGCCCTTGAGTAACTCATTTAGAGATGATAATACTTAAAGAATAAATAATTATGATTGAATCTTTCCTGATTGTGTGTGTTTGTAATAAATTAACGGTGGGAAGATAGCTTTGGGATGGTACCTCCCAAGGTGATGAACACAACTTTTGGGCTTTATGCCTCCGATGTGAAACTGATGTGAAAAAGATTATATCACTTCTTCCCAAAGTGGTATCTGGTAACAGTGGTTTTTTCCCAGGGTACTAGTAACAACTTTGGGAAGAGGTGTGCACACTAGGAAGATGTGAATTGATTATGGCCAATGTGATTTGTTTGTGACTAGCAGGGTTTCCCGGGTAGATTGGCAGGGTTTCCCGAGTCTACCATGGTTCTCTTCCCACTAAATATAATGAACTTAAACATTATTAATGAAATTTGTTATTTGATTTGATTATGAAGAATGTCATTGAGTTGTGAATATTATCATATTATGATTAATGTTGTGCTAAATATATTAGTTGATAATTACCAAATACATTAAATGAACTTAATAAAGATAAATATTATATAATGGAATTTTGATTATTATATTGATATTTGATTTGATTAATGTGGAATTGATTTGAACACTATTTGATATTTGATTTAATTTGTTATTAATTACATTAATTGTATTTTGATTAGGATTACCAGCTTTGCTGACTTTTGTGTTTGTTTGACTGCAATGATCCGAATCCCCTCCAATCCCTAGATACGAAAAGATAATAAATTTGGAAACTTTCTTGCCGAATATTAATCCAATCAAATCTTGACAAAAAGGGGCACCCAAGATACGAAAAGATAATAAATTTGCAAACTTCAAGATACGAAAAGATAATAAATTTGGAAACTTCATGCATTGATTATTGATCATCGCTCATCGAATTTCACCCTTATAGTATTCATCATTGCTACGATTAGGATTCCGGGTCATCTAACAATCATGTGATTTTTTGTTTATAGGAAGCATCGGAGAATCCTATTGTCAACATTCGTCAATTCTTTGACGATCACCTCAAGAAAAGAAAAGAAAATCCAATTTTGAATCACTGGTGATTGCTGGGGTTTCAATTTTTTTCTCTATTTTTGAATCTACCTGGGTTTGTGGTTATTTTGCAATGACCATGAAGTTTGGGTCACTGGATCACTGGAGGGATTACTTTAGCATTGCCAAGTCTGATATATTCGATATCATTGATCATGCCATCATGGTGGCAGCTTCGGATTGCCCCAAGGAGTTCAAGCTTAGGAGAGATGGGATTGCTGAGAGATTGTTCTCTAGCAGGTTGACTAAATTTTTGGGGTGTGAAAAGGTGGATCTGGCAGTATCTGGGGATCATGAAGAGGTTGATGATCATGGGGGTTTCAAAAGGGGTTTTAAGAGAGATGGGCTTGCCCTTGAAGCATGACATTTATATTTTTTTAATGGAGATTATTATTTATAGTTTAATCCCTACTCAACCATCCATGCTAAACACCACGCCATTGAATATTGAAAACATTGCACACTCAAAAAGTGAGAAAAAGGCTTCAAAATCACTTTTTGAGTGTGCAATGTTTTAAATATTCAATAGCGTGGTGTTTAGCATGGATGGTTGAGTAGGGATTAAACTATAAATAATAATCTCCATTAAAAAAAATATAAATGTCATGCTTCAAGGGCAAGGCCATCTCTCTTAAAACCCCTCTTGAAACCCCCATGATCATCAACCTCTTCATGATCCCCAGATACTGCCAGATCCACCCTTTCACACCCCAAACATTTAGTCAACCTGCAAGAGAACAATTTCTCAGCAATCTCATCTCTCCTCAGCTTGAACTCCTTGGGGCAATCCGAAGCTGCCACCATGATGGCATAATCAATGATATCGAATATATCAGACTTGGCAATGCTAAAGTAATCCCTCCAGTGATCCAGTGACCCAGACTTCATGGTCATTGCAA